GCATTGGTTCTGGTCTGCGGTTTGCAGGGCATTGGTTCTGGTCTGCGGTTTGCAGGGCATTGGTTCTGGTCTGCGGTTTGCAGGGCATTGGTTCTGGTCTGCGGTTTGCAGGGCATTGGTTCTGGTCTGAGGTTTGCAGTGCGTTGGTGTTGGTGTGAGGTCTGCCGTACAAATTATGCGTTGGTGCTGGTCTGTGATTTGCATTGCGTTGGTCTGATCTGAGGTCTGCAGTGCATTGGTGTTCGTCCGAGGGCTGCAGTGCGTTGGTGCTGGTCTGAGGTCTGCCATGCGTTACTGCTGGTCTGAGGTCTGCCATGCATTGGTGCTGGTCTAAGGTCTGCAGGGCATTGGTGTTGGTCTGCAGGGCATTGGTGTTGGTCTGCAGGGCATTGGTGTTGGTCTGCAGGGCATTGGTGCTGGTCTGAGGTCTACAGGGCATTGGTGCTGGTCTGAGGTCTACAGGGCATTGGTGCTGCTCTAAGGTTTGCAGGGCATTGGTGCTGGTCTTAGGTTTGCAGGGTATTGGTGCTGGTCTTAGGTTTGCAGGGCATTGGTGCTGGTCTTAGGTTTGCAGGGCATTGGTGCTGGTCTGTGGGCTGTCATGCGTTCTGGCCTTTGATTTGCAGTTCATTGGTACTGGTCCGAGGTCTGCAGTGCGTTGCTGCTGGTCTGATTTCTACAGGGCATTGGTGCTGCTATGAGGTTTGCAGGGTATTGGTGCTGGTCTGAGGTCTGCAGTGCGTTGCTGCTGGTCTGAGGTCTGCAGGGCATTGGTGCTGCTTTGTGGTCTGCAGTGCATTGGTGTTGGTCTGAGGTTTGCAGGGCATTAGTGCTGGTCTGAGGTTTGCAGTGTGTTGGTTCTGGTCTGAGGTCTGCTGTTCAAAGTATGCATTGGTGCTGGTCTAAGGTCAGCTGAAAGCATCATCCTACAGGCCAGACATAGCACAACTGAGCCATGAAATAAAGACACAGGGATTACACTAGAACTGTAAGTCCAGCTTACTTTTCAGCACATGTCAATATGAAAAAATGTTTTGTGTGCACCAGTTATTAAATGTTTCCCTTATAGTGGTGCTGCTAATGACAAGTAAACACATTAACCACTTGCCGTCCGCCCGTTGTAAAAAAAACGGACGGACGGCACTGCTGCATTGGCGGGGTTTTTTTTTCTGCTCGTGCGCGCCCCCTAGCGGGCACGCACGGGCAGAAAAGACCCAAAAAAACTCTGTCCCCAAAAAAGGGTATAAAATTCATTTCAGTACAGCGTTGCATGACGGAATAAATGTCAGTCAAAGTACCGCAGCGCTGAATACTGAAAAATGGTCTGGATGGGAAGGGGGTTTAACACCGCGGATGTCAACTGGTTAAAATAATTAGTGAGTTTACCTTACTATTAGCAGTACAACCATGAGTGCAAAAATGAAAATGTAACTAACACCACGGTGCGCTATTGTTTACTGGCACTGGTTGTCTGATGGTTTTAAAAATGGCACTCGATTTGTAAAAGTTTGCAGAACCCTGGCATAACTGATTCAGTTATAAAACATGTAATGATTATATAAAAGTATAACAGGTAATAGACATCAAGCCAAACCTTGCAAAGTGCTCTTGGGATAAAGCTCAGTCACAATCTGGGGTTTTTCTATGTTTTGTATGAAATGGGGAAGAGTTAAAGTGTGAGTTTTTTTGTAAGTTTCTTTGTCCCAGCTGGGTGTGTTTATCCTCATTTCCTGTCCTTGTTACCATATAGGAAGTAAGGAAGGACACCTAATAAATCCAGAGACAGCTATACAAATGTAAGAGTTTCTAATTCTTCCTGAACAAATAATATACTTTTATTGACATCTGTGTCCCTACTGGAGAGATTCCTCTCACCCGTTCTGAAGAAATGAAAAGAATCCTCCCAATGTGATCAAAGTCTAAATAGAAAACTTGACTAGTGTTCATATTTACTGTTTCATTTTATACTTTAAGTAAAACCTGTGCTCATAGATATAGGTAGGCTGCCATTGGCGACCATGTAACTAACATTTTTAGAAAAGGTCTTCCCTGGCTTGCATACTTAGTAGCCATGCAATCATCATTTTACAAGAAGAGGTCAGCAATGGAATGTCTTACATGTGCCTTCATATTTCCCTCCCTCTAGAGCAGGGGCGCCCACTATTTTTCGTCTGGAGATCTACTTTTCAAATGACGAGCTCATTGAGATCTACCAACGAAAAAAAGTAACAAATGGTTGAGTGCGTTTGTTTTGCCTACCAGTGATCGCTATGCGATCGACTGGTAGATCGCGATCGACCTTGTGGGCACCCCTGCTCTAGAGGTTTTCTTTTAAGATATGATTTCCTGGCAAGAGCACAGTCTTAGCCAGTGTGCAGTCAGTCAGATGAAGGAACACTTTTAGATACTGTGCTAGCTTTGTTTTTTAATGAAAGGTTGGTAAGAATTGAACAGCCGCTCTTCTCTTAGCTAATGAGTTATTTTTTTAATTATAAGATTGTTTTTAGCATTCTTGCTGAAGTCATATATTTATAAATGTACACTTCAGAACACAAATAACAATATATACAGCTAGTTATGTAAAGACATGCTCATTGCATATCACAAATTTACAGTATATACAATAAACAAACTTGGCAAATCTCATTGGCATTTATAATTAACCACTGATTTGTTTTTCTTGCTCCTGTGGCAGCTGCATAAAAAACCTTTTACATATACTGTATATGGTCTATACTTCACTTTCCTGCACAATGGACACAAGGACTAATAATTAATACAAAGTTGTTTATTCAGCTCCTAAATGATGCATAAAATGTAATCTATTGGCCAGGTAAATTAATTCTGTTGATGAACATTTGGGTAACAGAGAGGTAAAAAAGAGCTCTGCAGTCAAACAAGACAGTTTGGAAGGATACGTTTGTAATTGTAGCTGTATTAATTATAGTGGAAATCAGAGGACCATCACTGTTGAAAACATGCAAAGTAAATAAACATAGCACTAAAGAACCACCAAGAGTTATAAAAGCCTTCCCATTTATATTGGATTTTAGGTTTGTTATGACTTGTATAAATGGCAAGTCCCAAGTCTTTATGTTGTATATTCCTGGCATGTTTGTTACAGTAGAATACTTTTCTTTAGCATTTTTTTTTAAATAATATACACTTGATTGCTGATATGGTTGTCTCTCTACAGATTATTGCCTTTGATGAACTTCGAACAGACTTTAAGAACCCTATTGAACAGGGGAATCCATCCAGAGCGGTGAGATTTTTTACATTTCCTAAATGTGCCATTTTCTTTTTATTGCATTGCAGAGCATCTCCGCATCTTTGGGATAGAGCAAGGGGCCCATGTAGTATATCTGCAACTGTCACTAACCTGTTATCTCTCTGCATGTTTTGTCGAACGTCTTTCCCATCCCTTCACTGTCACTCCTTCCCTTTGCTATATTCACATCTCCTTACCATTCACTTTTCTCCTTTTTGTATTGATCTGTTTCAATGTTTCTGCATATCTTTTTACATTGCCCCTGCTCCTTCTGTCATAATTCTCCTTTTCTCTTTTACATTCCCTTCTTTATTCCACTCTCTCTTTCTCCCTCTCACCTTTTCTACAGAGAGAGAGGGTTAAGAACGTGGAACGGATTTGCTGCTTGCTCAGAAAGGTCAGCAACACAGCCTGTGTGTTATTGTGCAGTATGTGTGCTGTCATATTTTACATTGTTTTTTATCTATGATGCTTTCCTAAATGCAAAGCATTTTTTTTATTCCATTGTTACATGTATCATATTCACAATGTCATCAAATGCTTATATTTATTAAAGAACAAAAATAGACTTCATACTACAAATATGCATACTGCATGTGCATGTGATTTGAGCATCTGTTTTTTATATGTGTGTCTGTCTATGACCTAGATTTAACAATACATGTTATTTTATGTTATTTTAGAGTTTAACTAGATTAATGTGTTTATCAAAACGTTTTTCACAGTGGTGCTTAAATCACATTTAAGAATGGAACAATCATGCCTGCATTAGAAATGGTGGAGCCCAGCATGTGTGTTTCAAATTGCTAGTAACCATGAAAAGCTAAAATCAGAATTGGGTGGAGATGACCTTTTGAAAAATGGAATTTAGTAATCAAGTAGATAATCTTTAGAAACACACCAAACAGATGCTGATGTAAATCTACTCTGTTGGAAAGCATATCTGTACAACAACAAATCATACTGCAGCAAGAGGGGTATTCTAATATTTCCCAGATATGCCAAGATACTGCATGAGCCTATGTCTAAGGTGGAAAATGTGAAAAAAAAATGTAAACTGTTTACATTTATTTAAATGTAATACAGAATACACTTTTATAACATCTATCTATCTATCTATCTATCTATCTATCGTGATCGTGTAGAATTAGTAGGCCACATTGCATATCTTTTTCATGGGAGATGGGGCATACAAAGTGATCTAGAGGGGCAGAAGCTCAGAATCTGGCCTTAGTAGGATTTAAAGGTTTATTCTCTAAAGAGCCAAAGGATCCAGCTGTAGCTATTCACAATAGCTCGTACAGCAGCCGAAGGCAATCGAGCGGCTCAGCCGAGCTGAAGGCATGTGCTTCGGCTCGACTGAGCTGAAGTGACAACCAAAGCGTGGCGAATGGTCAGCCAAAGGCCTGACATTTCTCCATGCAAATGACAGCTGGGCGGAGCCAGCCATGATCTCACGGCTGGCTCCGCCCAGTTGTAATGACAGATCAGGGTCCCCAAATTCAGATGCAAATTCAAAACAATCCAGATGTTGGATCGGCTGAGTTGAAGTTCCTCTGCACTTCAACTCAGCCGAACATGCTCCGAAGGCAGCCGATGTAGGGCTGCAATCAGCCGTACTGTGCCGGAGTGAATAGCTGTAGGTCGTTCGACTCACTTTGGCTCAGTTATTCACTCAGCTGTCTTCGGCAGCTAAGTGAATAACCTTGTTAAGGTTGGGCTACTGGTACTAGCCTAACTTACTGTATATCTTAAGAAGAAATAAAGGGAAGATTATATCTATGTAGAAAAATGTGCATTTGCAAAGATAGAAAAGTGGGTATAAGTAAGAGTAAATAACAGCACTCATACACCTCTAAAGATGGTCTAATTAAAACAGCATATTGTTTCAAAAAGTTGAGCTGTTCAAATGACTACACACAACAAATTTTATGTACTTTTCTTGAAATGGGATAGACTTACAACTTAAAAGTTGCAAGCTTGATTTAAAAGTTGCAAGCTTGATTTAAAGTGTATCTAAACCCAAGAACAAAAATGTAATATATGGCAGCTTACGTGCGGTCAGGGGAGGCAGGTGAGGCAGAGCCTCACCTAGAATTATGGAGGAAAAAGCTGTCAGCTTTTTCTCCATTCAGATCGGCATCTAACAGGTTACACAGCAGGGAAATCCTCCTCACTGTATAACCTGTCACGGAGCCTCAGCGGTGAGGAGCAAGTGAGGGACAGGGAGGCTTCTCCCTGTCTCCTCCCTTCCTCCTTTACACTAGCTTGGGGACAGGTTGAGGGGTGGGGCTTCAGCAGGGGTGGGGCTTTGCCTGACAGGAGGTGGCGCCTCACCCCGAGCAAGAGGTACCGCATGTCACTGCAGCTTATTGCACTTGGCAATCCTGCCAGTAACACACTTCCTTTCCTAGTGTGACCACAATCACTTACTGAATCTATGGATACAGCAAAGTTGTCACCCAGGACAATGTGTGGTAGGACTACAGAACACCCACTCACTCCATGAAATAGGAGGGGTTATTTTGTAGTTCACAGAGGTGAACTGGGCAGGTTGATAACACTGCTTGAGATAACACTGCTTGAGATAACACTGCTTGAGATAACACTGCTTGAGATAACACTGCTTGAGATAACACTGCTTGAGATAACACTGCTTGAGATAACACTGCTGAGTTATAGGACACAGGGCAGCACTAGATTTCTGACAGGATCAACGGGTATTGTTTTTGCAATCATCATACAGATATGAAAAACACTTTTAATGGTATATTTGTTCACAATAAGTATTTTTTTATTGAAAATTACAGGAGAAACCATAAGATAACATACCAATTCAGGTTACATACAATATTTAGATCAATTACTTAAACATCACCGGGAGCTCAACTGGACAACCCTAAACGTAATCACAGGTAGTACTCCAGTGGATACAGTCCATAACAAGGAGCCTCTCATAAACTGTATGAAACACAAAGAAAACGAGACCCACCCATGAGGCAATGCCAAAAGTGGGAAATAAGAATCATACAAGGAAGAGAATAAAGTAAGAAAAGATATGAACTAGAAAGAAGGAGAAAAAGAACATAAGAACATTAAGAAGAAAAAAAGGGGAAAGGAAGCACAAGAGGGAAGGAAGAGAACCTGGGACAATCTGGCCCTTGACCCCCACCACCTTCCCCCATTGGTTACTTGTAATGGTATATTTAATAAACCAAAAAGAAACAAAAAAAGAGAAATTCATACTTAGGATTTACATACATTTTATTAACTTAAATATCAGAGTATCAATCCCAGACAATGGAGTAAGAATAATGTATTCTGATTTGCTATAGTTAAACATGCATTTTCAGACTGGGATATTGCACATGAACAACATGGACAACACAATCCCCATGGATGTAAGTGAAATACGATAGAGAAGGAAGAGAGCCCAGGACAATCCGCCTCCTGACCCCCCCTTACCCCATAGTTATGATTTACATGCATTTTTTTAACTTAAATAGCCTATCAATCCCAGACAATGGAGTAGAAATAATTTATTCTGATTTTCTATAGGTAAACATGCATTTTCAGACTGGGATATTGTACATGAACAACATGGACAATACATCCCCATGGATGTACCGTATATACTCGCGTATAAGCCGAGTTTTTCAGCCCATTTTTGTTTGCGGAAAAGTGCCCCCCTCAGCTTATACTCGAGTCAGCGTCTCGAGCTGGTCAGGTTTCTTCTTACTTACTCGCCGAGCGTCACATCACTGCTGCTCCGGTGGGCGGCGCTCCGAGCGGGGTCATCTGGCAGTCTCCGGGTCCTAATTTAGGTGGCCAGAGACTGCCAGATGACCCCG